ATCCCCCGACTTCAATCCGATTGAAAACTTGTGAATTGATGTTAAACAAGCAGTTTCTGAAAATAATCCAAGAGGTTGTAATCAATTGTGGTATATCTGTCGAACGATGTCAGAATCTTATTAATTCCACGCAACGAAAATGCTTGGCGGTTATTACAAATAAAGGTCATGCAACAAAATACTAATGTAGAGCTTCAAAAAAAAAAAATTTTTGTAATAAAATTTAATTATTTTTTGACCTTTTCATAAAAAATGATTTTCACTATTATTTTCTTTCACAGTCTAAAAAAAAATACGAATGACCTTCAATCGATAATACTGAAATTTAAAAGCATACAGTGTTTCAATTACCTTTCTTAAATTTTTTTTATACTACTATAATCACAACATTTAGTTTATAAACAATAACAATAAAAAAACAAACAATAGAAAAATATATTTTGATGTTCGAAGTTTGTTGATAGAAAAATAAAATACGCACTACTATTTTACTGCACACGACTTTATAAGCATTTTATCCATTGTCTTATGATAAAGGATATTCTTTTACTAAAACTAAAAACAAAAAAATTTAAAACTGCATAAAAATTATTTTTTGAAATGAAAACTGTATCTAACCTGAGATTTGAAAATTTATGACTAATCAACCCATAATATAATAATTTTTTTAAATAATGAAATATCAACAAATGAAATCTTGTTAACGCGCAAATAATAATTTAAGTAATAATTCAATTAATTTTCTTTGATTTTAATTTAGATTTTATGACAAAGTGTTGCATTTGGTGACTTTCTTTGTTCCCATCGTTAAACATACCATTAACTATCTATATTGTTGTGGTTTTAAGGTCTCTTCTTTAAGTGTCTCTGACATAGTAATAGAGAAACGTTTCCGTTACTATTGCACAGATTATCTATAACAATTTTTAAGTGCCATACAATCAAATAATCTAAATAATTGAAAACGTTCTGACTTTAATGTGAAAATAAAGAAAATGCCTGAAAACAAAAAAATTTCAGATTTTTTAATGAACTTGAACATTTTATTACATTTACATTTTCGCTTTCAACAGTAAATGAATAGCTGTTTTACTATTGACAAATTAACTTAAAATATCAGAAAAGAACTTTTCAGAAGTTATGGCATCTGCTTCATACTGATGTTGTTTATCAGTTCGCCTACAGCTTCTATTTCAATCCACTATCATCTGCAAAAGCGGAGACAAATCTAATGATATGCCCATGTCAGTATCAAGTGAGTATTGTCAAAGATAACTTGCTCGAGAGAATAATTTTTGTCAATTAAAGCTGACTAGGAGATTAATAAATCAAAAAAAGGAATTAGAAGCTTTTTAATTATACATAGCTCATAAAGAATAACGTGTAGCAGTTCTTATAACCTGATATCATAGCGGGTACTTATTTATATACTATGTATATTTCTTACTGTTAACTTCAAAGAACATAACTTTTATTTAAAGATTCAACAGGTAAAATTCAATGTGATGTGGCTATGAAACTCGCACAAGATTGGAAAATTTTCGAAAACATTGTTAGTATATGCTTTGAGCAGCAACTTTAATCAAAATTGAGTTAAGGAGACCTCTCTTTTGGCTAGCATGTCGTTATAAAAAGCTACACATTAAAGATGTACTTACCGCATTACGTGGTTCTCTTCGTAATGCGGTAAATGCATGTTTTTGAATAAAAATAGGTTCATCTGGACACTTGCTATCTAGAAATTGTCCAGATGAACATATTTTTAAACTTATCCTAGGCGTATATTTAAGAATTGATATTGATTACTCAAACTTTAATTTTTTTGAATGGCCTAATGATATCAAATCAAAAATATTTTAACCAAGTATACTTAGTTCTGAAACGGGCTAACCAATGCCTCGACGAGAAAACATTTCCTCATGAAAACTTAATCTTGAGCTAATTGAATTAACTCAGATCTATCTTGGGCTATCAGTGGACAGAATATTCAAAATTCCCAAACCAAGTGCAACTCATTCAATAAAATGTTATACTTGCAGAATAAATCACAGCAGTTAAGTTTTTTAATTACAAACCGTTGTCCATCAATATGGAATCATTTCCAAAATAAAAATATTAAAGACCTAAAAAGCATTGCATCGTTTAAACGGCAAACTAAAATGGATCTTCCTAATTCCAGACATAAATATTATAGTTTACAGTATTTGTTTTCAGATTTTTGCTGTAAAACCGATTTCACAGTTTTTTCAATATTATCGTACTTGTTCTTTCAATACTATCGTACTTGTTCAAAGTTGAACAAATTTGTCTGCTTTCTCTTACTCATGATCTTAACAGCGTTGTCAACAACATACACAACAACAACACTACTGTGATTATTTTCTTTTTAAATCGTTTATCTAAAAGAAGTCATTACATTGCAGAGAAAAAAGTAGCAATTTATGAGTTGCTTATGTTAAAATTTGTTCCGAACTGAAGTTGCTTAATATCTTTTCACATCGATTTCAGTTGCTTATAAACGAGTTGCTTATACAAAAAAAATCGTATATATATATATATATATATATATATATATATATATATATATATATATATATATATATATATATATATATATATATATATATATATATATATATATATATATATATATATATATATATATATATATATATATATATATATATATATATATATATATATATATATATATATATATATATATATATATATATATATATATATATATATATATATATATATATATATATATATATATATATATATATATATATATATATATATATATATATATATAAGCATTAAAAAATCATATACGGTATCATACTATTTATTTATTTTTTCTATAAGTGATATTTCAGCTCATATAGTGAGAGCCATTATCAATTATCTAATGAAATCGTTAATGTCATGCAACGTCATATTTCAACATTTTTTAATTTTACAAAAAATGGTTTCCAATTGTGAGTCATCACCAAACTGCCATTGTTGCGATTTAAAACGTTTTCTTTTGGTTTTGAACATTGTACACGTTGTATTTCAATAGCCTCACGAATTTTTCTGGTGTAGTTGTTTAAAATAATAGAAAGCGTTTTAAAGTTCTCCCAGTTTATTTTGCCATTACAATGTTGTGAGTGTTCTACTATTCCTGATGTTTCCCAGTTGGCTTTTGTAACATTATTTTTATGTTCTTGAATTCGTGTGGAAATCTTTTTTCTTGTTTCACCAATATAACATGCACCACATGTGCAATTAAGTTGGTACACTCCTGGATGACTATTCGGAGCCCACATGGCTTCAGTAAATATACAATAAAATATTTTTTCTGAAAAATACTACGTGAAGAATAAAAACTCATATATGCATACATACTCATATATACATATACACTTACACATATACAAACATACTTACATATATGTCAGAAATTAAGGAGATGCAATTTCATTTGTCGTTTAAAAGAGAAAGTGTTTTTCAAATTTTTTATACTGTTATTTTTCAATTGATTCCATAATGACGGGCCTTGGCTAATAATTGAGAATTTTGATACTTGCAATTTTACTCTGCTCAAGTTATAGTTACGGTTGGTATTTGACCAAAGATTGAATTTTTGTAGAAACGTCGATGTAAAATATCAGAAAACACTTTTGGCAGCAAGTTATTCTTATATTTATACATAAATATTAATATTTGAAGCGAGTTAAGTTTTGATATATTTAACTCATTCATGTATTTGATTACAGGGAAAGGGTTTTCTAATCTCTTTAAATAGTTAACTCCTTTACATGCGTGGTTTTGTAGGCTCTGTTATCTTAACAATTTAGTTTTATGTGTGTTAACCCAAACAATATTAGCGTAGGAGAGATGACAATGAACAAGACTGAAGTAAAGCATTTTGCGTGATTTATAATCAAGAAAGGCCCTACATTTATATAATATACTTATAGCAGAAGATATTTTTGCTTTAATAAGACTAATATGTTTTTTCCATGATTGGTTCTCATTAAATATTATTTCCAAAAACCTCGTATGATTTACTCGATTTATTTCATTTTTATTGATCGACAGTTTTGGCAAATTTAGCGGAAGATTAGTTGATTGTCTTATTTTATAGAAGAGAGTAAAACTTGTTTTTTCACAACTTAATGATAACTTATTTGCTTATTAAACCATTGGTTAAAGCTTTCAAGTTCAGTGTTCATTGTTTCGAACATTATTTATATATCTACTTGTCTTCATAAAAAAGATTTAATTTTTCCTATTTTTCAAAAAGAAATTTAATTTCTTTATTAATTTTAAATGCCACAGAATGCATTAATCTATACCGAAGTGTTTATCTGCTCCCAAACGGCGATAATCTTATAAGTAAATTTTTTTTTACAAATTGCAATGACTTGGCATTGTATGCAACATTTTTAATAGATTGTATGAGGTTGATTCATTATTTGGTAATTTGCAACCTCACCGATATTTGGAAAAAAATATATACAAAAGTTTGTCGTGATTAATGTAACCTTAATTAGAGTAACTTCAGGTTAATACAAATCTTAGCTTTTAAATATTAGTGTAAGCTTGTTTTAATTTGAAAAAACTATTTTGTGTATATAAAAAAAGTACATACACAATTTGTTTAGTATTGTCAAAAAAAAAGGACACTACAGTTCGTCAGCCGAGAACCAAGAGGCCGTATGTCCACATTTTGCTTTTGATCTTGTAATTGTTATGAAGAAGTTGTATTTGTAATTTGTAATGACTTGATGTTCTCGGAATTACAAAAAATGGACATACGGCCTTTTGGTTCTCGGCTGACGAGTTGTCAACAACTTAAAGACATAATACTTTTTGTATGTAAAAGATTTCATATATAATTCTTATATAGTTTTTGTTTATTATAGCTTTTAATTTAATTTTTAAATAAATTTTAAATACATCTGATATTACAAAATTATCACGCAATCGATAATAGCGGACAACCTAACTAACACATTTTTTCAAATTTTTGGTCAAGCAAAAGCTTTACAATACTGGTATTGTTTTTCGTTTTTTTGGCGAAACTCTTCTATTACTCACACGTTCTACAAGAACACTTAAAACAATGAAAAATAAACTTTTCTATTTTATGTTATTTATTATTCTTAGTTTGGCATCGCTCCTCGAATGCTGTGGGTATTGCTATTCGTCCTAATGATGGCGACTCTACTTTTTTATTATTGTTGTCTGGTACAACGCTTGCTAAAACAATTGTTTTTTTAGCACCTCTCTTTCTTTCTAAAGTAATGGATGGCTTGTCTGACAAGTTAGAAACTTTTTGACGTTCTCTTTCAATAGATTTAACTTCGTTTTCTAAATGCATTTGTATTGCCCTGGGTGTATAAATTCTTGATTTCACAATATCTGAAGAATCGTTGTAATGATATCTAATTTCATTATAATTAACTTGCTTATTTTCACGCCAATTAAATTGACTACTACCACTAAAAAGTTCTTTGCAAGGGTCTAAAGAAGCGATTACTTCTGCTTCCGTTCCATTGCAGGGGCCTTTTTTGTTTTGAGAAACGACAAATTCAGTTGTCTTTGGTTTAGAAGATTTGTTTTTTACATTCGGAGGAATCTTTTTTGAGGTGTTACAGCTATTGTTAATGTCATTCGGAATGATGTTATTATTAAAGATTTCATTAGAAACAATATCATTAGCAAGCAAACTGTTAGTAATAATGATATCACTAATTATGCCATTAATTACATCGATAATAACATAATTAAGTAAATCATTAATAATATCATTAAGAATAAAATCATTTGTACTAAGATTATAAATTAAGTCATAGTTAACGTCATTATTAGTTAAGTCATTAATAATGTTGTGATTAATGACAATATTAATTGTGTCATTGTTAGTAATTCCGTTCTGATTAGTTTTCTCATCTGTTGCAAGTAAACTTTTTGTTTGGATAGTCGAATCGGTTGTGTAATATACACGGCAGTCATTATTCGATGTTTCATACATTGGTGGCAAAGAGTTTATAGTACTGGTATCTTTATTTGAAATGTCTCTTTTTACCAAACCAGTCAATTGTTTTGTAACGCAAAGACATTTTTTTTCAACATATAAGTCGATTGTATTTTCAGAATATTGAGCTAAGTCTGATTTTGGCTCTTTTCGAAAAAATGCCCGTCTTTTGTTTGTATCAATATTAATTTCTTTGCTATTGTCCACTAAACTGTCAGATCTATTCTGTATGTTTTCGCCGATAATATCAACCACCACCATATCGTCTGGAATACCATCGTATGAGTTCTCCTTAACAACTTCGTTTTTTAAATATGACGCTTCTGAAAATCTATTTTTTGAAAAAGAAAACAAGAAGTCTGAAAAAATATTTTTACGTGTGGGTGTTGTAATTTTGAGTAATTTGCTCTCACATGATTCGGTTAGTTGAATGTGTGATGTTGAAAACCCTTTTGTGTCTTCATATACATCCCATATAACAACTGGTTGGTAAGACAGTTTCATACTGACAAGTTTTATCGAGTAATCGTTAATGCAAGACTCTAAATGCATGAGCTTTTCAGTAGTGTATGTCAGTTTAGCTATAGCACCTTCGTGTTTAGGATCATGTATCATGCTGTCGTTAAAACTAGAATTTACAATCTGATCAAAGTCTTGGTTATAGCATGGTCCATAATAAATAACTGGCGTTTGTTTCATAAACTCTTGATAAAAAGTTGGAGTACTTTCAACATTTAATGAGACATATAAAAAAGTTTCATTTCGATTTGATTTTTTTGGTAACCATTTTACTTGTTCAAGCATTACACGGTGGTAATTACAAGGTAAAAGTGTCGTATAAACTTCGTAGTTCCAGTCTTCACTAAACTTTTTTGATCGTCTTGAAAAAGTTCGCTTTGGCAAAGAAAATGTTAACTTTGATAAAAATAATTTTGTTGTTGATGGTGATTTTGGAATTGATGATATTTTCCGTGCAGAAAGTTTTGTATTTAACTTTGATTCATCGATCATGATAAGAGTACACTTGTGTGAATGCCATAAAAACTTTTCAGTTTTTTCATTTTTGTATAAATTTTTGTGAATGTAAAAACTAGCTTTTTTGGAAATCTTGCAGTAGGAACAAGTTAATTCGTCACAAAGAACAGTTTTGTATGATTCAACCATTCTAAAAACAGTGAAAAAAATAATATAAATATTCATATATATATACATATATATATATATATATATATATATATATATATATATATATATATATATATATATATATATATATATATATATATATATATATTCTATTACAATGTACTATTGTTAATTTTAATATTGAAATATTCGTGTACCTAATATTACAATATTAAAATATTAAAATTAAACGTTCCAAAACATCAAGAAATGAAACGTCTTGAAAGCTTTTTATTTTAAATTTTTTGAATTTACAAGTATATCAAAAGATATTTGAAAAACAAAATTTTGTTAAACACAAGTAAAATATTTGTATGGCAACCTTTGTAAGCGCCCGACATACGTGTCATTTTATTAAGCCTTTAAATATTTTAAATGCGACAACTTTTTTTATGCAGAAATTAAATTTAGAAACCAGATTCAAAATTTTTCACATAGTTGCGCAGTATATTCATATTTTAATAACAAAAATTCTCAACGGTAGTATTTAAAAAAAAAAAAAAAAAAACTAATATGAAATAACATAAATATTATTTGAGATTTTTTTGTATATAAAACAACGCTATCGCCAATTCTCCATAATTTTATCAGTAACTGCTGCAGCTTTTTTACGGTTCATTTTAATTTATAAATTAAAGCTACATAGCTTTCATTAGATAATACTTTTAAAGTGAAACAGTAAAAAAATTCTAAATTTATGTAAAATATGATTATACTAGTTAATAAGGTTAATCAAAAGTAAATTTACAAAAAAACAAAATTAAGTTTGCAAAAATAAAATCTTGTTATTGTTGGTTTGTAACATAATTTTAAATGTCAAGTTTTATATTCAATCATATGTAGGTTAAAGTCATATGTAGAAATCATTTGTAGTTTAAAGATAACAAATTAACCCCCGAGGGGTTTTTTCTTAAGAAAAGTTAAAAAATTGTAAAAAAAAAGTTTGGCACACTATATAAGTAGATTTTTAAAGAAAATAATTACTTCATATTTATCAAAATTGAAAATCAAATTATATCTCAACTCTCTTGTCTGTTTAGACATACTCTAAAATTTATTAAGGTTTTTTAATTTTTAATATTCGGATGATACCTTTCTATAAATTTTTAATACTCGGATGATACCTTTCTATAAATTTTTTATATTCGGATGATACCTTTCTATAAATTTTTAATATTCGGATGATACCTTTCTATAAATTTCTACTTGAAATTAAGTCATGAAATGAGACATAAAATATTGTTAAGCGTTTTTTAAAGATATAATAAAATTAGATAATTACAATAGAAAATCCACAATGTTAAGTCAAATATGTTTTTTTAATCATAATAATATACAAAATGTAACTTAAAATATAACGTCATTACTTTTTTTTTTTTAATTTTATTTAAAACGGATCAAAACGTGAGGAAAAATTAATATTTAAAAAATATTTATTTTACTAAAAAATGGCATTTATATTTATTATAGCATATTTATATTAGATAAAACTATATAAAATCAATATTTTTAATTAAACAAACTATTAAACAGCAATCATTTGGAGATTTACTTTAACAGTTTATCTTTAAAAATGAAACTTCTTTTGCAACAGCTAGAAAATTTCTAGCTATTGCAAAAGAAGACTCATTTTCAAAGATAAACTGTTAAAGTAAATTTCAAAATGATCACTGTTTAATAATTTTTTAATAAAACATTTCACTTCTTATTGATTATTAAAGTATAATGACGTTATATTTTAAGTTACATTTTGTATATTATTATAATTAAAAAAACATATTAGACTTAACATTGTGGATTTTCCTCTCAAGTATATTAATTATCCAATTTTACTAAATCTTAAAAAAAGGCTTAATACTACTTAATGACTACGGAGAATGTTGTGAACTTAATATGTTATATCATATGACTATGGAGAATGTTTTGAAATAACATTATAATGTATACTTTAAATTATATTGAGATTAAACTTAACATTGTGTTTTTTTCCTCTTAAGGTAGAGGAACAACTTCCTTCTAAGAAAGATAATAAAGATAATAAAACCAGAAGATAATAAAAACAAGCTTAGTTAATGAATAGCTATAAAGATAGTTTAAAAATTTTTAAGTATTGAGTTTACTTTGATTTTTAAAAACAACTTCATTATTTTCAAATAGAGGTCGTCTTTTATATAAAACTTGCTCAGAGGTGGCGTAGTAGAAAAAGAAATAAAACTAACCAATTAAATAGAACTAACCAAAATTAGTTTATTGAACACTTTTTATGTCCTCAAGAGAATTTTTGTAAAGCTTCTGAAACATTAACTTCAAGATAAGAAAAAGATGGACAAGATGACCAGCCAGGTAATGACGTTTTTAATAGCCAAGGGCAAAAGATATCCTTGTAATCAAAGATGGTGTTTGTAAATTATTTGAAATAACTGTAGAAAGTATAGCAATAAATTTTTCACATCCTGCTTCTTGGGAAAATCTACCGATAAGTAGTGAAAAACGCTTTTGGTTGATCCGATTTGTCCAAACAAGTTTATAAAGATTTTCTTTTAGAAGGGGAAAAAATAAAATTTTAAGCAGTGCGTTTAAAAAAAAATTACAAGCAGTGAAGAAGTTTGTCAGCAACATTTCCAGTATTCAGTATCTATTAATAAAGTCTTCTGTTTTCGAAACAATCTTTTTGGAGGAGAATTAAATTGAAGGCATAAGACTTGCTTAGAGACTTATGCTCAAATTCAATTTTCTAATATGTTATGTCAATCATTGCACTTAGTACATTGATTGGCATAACATATCATTAATTAGAGCATAACATATCATTAGAGTAGCCGTGGCGCAGAGGTAGCGTGCTTGCCGCAGATACGTTAGATCCGTGGCTCAAACCCCACCTCTGCGCAATTTTTGCGACATCGGTTGGGAAGGGGGCGTGAACTTCCTATTAAATGCTCATCCGCGGTGCTCTGTGATAAGACTGTAAGAACTTCTTGGGGCACCTAAATCAACATAAAAATTAAAAAAAAAAAAAATCTGTTTTAACATAAAAAGGTTTTTGAGCACATTTCCAACTTCATTATTTGGAAGCGATTCTAAAAACAAGCACAACTATTGATAGTGTTAATACAAAAAAGATTAACAAAGAAAAGTTTGAATCAGATCTTAGAGCGTGTTATATCTCTTATAAGAATTCTAGATGTACAAGGTTTAGCCTTTGTTGACAGTGATAAACTTTATGCTCATGAAAAGAACAATTTTCTTAAAACTATAGAATTCCTTTCCTAGCTTCATCCAATAACAAATGAACATCTCAGAAGGATACAAAATTAAAGAAAAAGCCATGCTCACTATTTGAGTAACAATATTAAAAAAGAATTTATTAAAGTGTTATCAAAAGGTATCAAAAACAATTTCATTTTAATGGTTAAAAAGACAAAATCCTTTAATAGTTAAAAAATATTCTTCTATCGATCTTGATTGGACACCAAATATCAGCCGCACAGAGCAAAAGACAATAATAATAAGATTTGTTGACATTTGTGTTTAATCTTCAAGAACTGCTTTATTTCAGTATGCTGATGAAGAATCCTGCGAAAGTAAAATACTACAATAAAAAATCACTTTTGAGATTTGTACTATTAACAGAGACTACAGGTAAATCTGTGAACAACGTTTAGATAAATCAACTGAAAACTTTTCATTGTCAATTAAATACTTAAAAGGTCAGGGTTATGATAAAGGGAGCAATATGAAGTAAAAAGAAATAGGTCTGCGTTTGAACATTAATCCCTATGCTTTCTTCGTTGTCCCTTGCTGATCTTGCACTCTTAACCTAGTGGTAAACAAGCTTTTGTTGCAAATAAGCCTATTTTGATGTTATTCAATAAATGTATTTTTTGCTTCATCTACACGTCAATTGGATATACTTAAACGTTATAAACTATCTGCAACTATTAAACCACTCAGATATACTCGGAGGTCAAGCAGGATAGATGCTTTAACTTCTATTAGGTACCAATAATCATGTGTATGAATCATTATTTGAATTTACTTAAAGTATAAATTTGAAATGTCCTTCAGGTATTGGTACTATGTTCTGGTTCTATGAATGAGATTGAAGCGAAGGTCTTCTGAGGAGCATGCGTTCATTCAAGTTTGTTGTGGGAGTTGTAAAATCGCATAAAATATTATTTCAGATCAACTTGACAAGAAAACTGCAGCATGAAACAAAAAATCACACACAGATATACAAAAAGTTCTTGTATTTTGTTAGGGTAGAGAGGAGTGTGTAGCCGTTGTTAGAGTTTTGCTTCAGAACCAAAAGGTCTGAGGTTCGACGCCAACTTCAGCCCAATAGGACACATTTTCAAGGAAGGATAAACTAATAAGTAGAACTATTTTGTAAACTTAAAGTACATTTTCACATTTACACATTAATCTTAAAGTACATTTATATAAGAAAAAAGAAAAGAGGCAAAAATAGTTTTATATTTTGCGAGTCGGTGGTGCTAAACAAGACAGTAAAAGAATTATTCATTTTATAAAACTTCGCTATCTTTTATAGCAAAATTTCATAAAACGAATAAGTTTTTATATTAAAATTATTCATTTTATAAAACTTTGCTATCTTCGATAGCAAAATTTTAATAAATGAATAAGTGCAATCTATCTGTCATTTAACCATGTTTAGACATTAAACCCTCAAAAAAAAAAAACAATATAAACTACATACCAATACCAGGAGCGGATGCGGTGTTTGAGATAGCTGACTTCCGGACATGGGACTAACTTCAAATATTGATACCTTTATACTTATGTCAATTAAGGTGCTTTGCAAAAATATGCGTTCATTGAGAACAAAAAAGCCTAAAAAATTTTGCCTTCCTGTCCCAAAATAAGCAACAAGTTGATAACAATTTTTTTTATCTATTCTTAACTAAATTTATATTCCCCAATAAATTTTAAGTTTCATAGTATTATTTCTCAGCGTTCAAAAATTATAACCATGTAAAGTTTGTACCCCCATTGTTGTAACCCCCTTAAGGGGGTTACAACAATGCTCCTAAACAAACCAACTTAAGAAAATGTTCTCAAAATTAAATAAATAAAAAATAGCCACCTTTTTTTTGCGAATAAACCAGATATATTATAGATCACATAAACCGTATAAAAAATATATTAAAACTTATGGGCAAAAATATTGACGAGGCCAAAATCTACAGATTTTACATCTAAACAAATCATCTTTGTTTCTCGTATCATTCCAAACTGCATTAATTGCACTCCACCGGTAAACACATTAACTGCTTTTTGGTAAATATTCTTATTATAAAAGGAAGACGTTTTCACAACTCCTTTTTTTTTTGAGGAGACTAGAGGCAATTTTTTTTTATTTAGTTTTATATAACATTTTTAAACAACTCATTTGATCGATTTTTTGATACTTATCTTGCATGGAAAACTTACAATATTTTCAGATTCTTCACTGCTTCTTTTTGTTAATTTTATCTCCGCTATATAAACAATATCATTTTTTTTCTAATTATTCACCATCCCAAGACCGAGAAGGCCATTACAGTCGAGGAGGCTACTTTTTTTTTTTTTTTTGTGGTTTTCAAATTAATCAAATACAAGCTATGGTATATGATCGTATCCAGGAACACAACTATAATCTTATGCAACACAATTATGAATTCCCAAAGTTTGCCAGCTCATATTTGGAAGCTGCCAACCCTGACCATATTTTTAACATCGGTAAGGAAAGAGTTGTAAACTTTTTCGTTATATGCTTTTTGGCGGTGCTCTGTGACAAGACTGTAAGGATTAAAAAAAATTAAAGTTGTTACATTTTTCACACAAGCATCAAAAAATTATTCCTTTAAGTTAACTCTTATTATTTTTCTATTTTGAAAACTGCATATACATAACGAACAAGAAGCATCAAATGGAAAACTAAACAGTTTTCTTAATTTAATTAAAAAATTATATGGGTTTCTTAACATCTAAAGGTTTTAGTTTATATTAGTATAAAGAGAGATTGTTAAAATAATCAAACAATTATCGCATACAAAGTTAGTTATCGTAAGTTTTTAGTATTTCCATCTAATATAGCTAAATCCTCTATGGACTTATTGCATTCGACTTTATCCAAATATTGAACAAATAAATTAAACATTTTTATTGCAATTCAACCATTTTTCAGAGCATTCGCCAATCGTTCCAGGTGGTGGTGTATTGCCAAAGTTTTGTTCACGTGTTTGCACCTAAAAATTAATACGTGGGGTACATACAAATCAGTTTTACTAATTGCTATTGCAACTATGTGAAGCCTTGTTCTTTGTTTGTAATGAACGGCACAAGATTGTTATCTATTTGTGCATTAACTTTTCTGATTTATAAACACATAAAATACTTGACAGTTTAATAAATTATTCAATAAGTTAAAGCGTTTTTCAACTGAAGTTTTATTTAATCCATTTCGTGGTGTTTAGAGGCTTGCGAAAAGAGAAAAAAGTATGACGCTGAAGCAAAGTCTTTACCAGCAAGTTTATTTGTCTTATTAAAAGTGTCAAATTTTATTAGAACAGTATTTATTCTATTTACTATATTTTGCAGCACGTATTTATCATCATTTTTATTACTAACAAAATTATTTTTCTATTCAAATAGGCCAAGAATATTAAATATACCAAAGTCATTTTACTGAAATTAATACTGTTCATACTGTTGATAATTTAAATACAGTCTGTCTACTGTGTGTCTATATGGAGTCTGCAATCCAAAAAAAAAACACAAAGAAACTTAAAATAGTTCATAAAAACGCAACAAAACTAGTTCTTGGATTTGAATCAAGAATCTTGACAGTCTGGAACTAGAAAAATTAGAGCATTAAAGATTAGTAATCTGATCCAATATTTTAAATTCGAGACTAAAATTAACAAGACAAAATAAATTTGTTTGTATTAACTTGCTTATTCAATACATTTACAGGGTCCGAAAGGGCACACTAGAAGATCAAAGTTGGGAATAGTTAGAGAAGTATCTGAAAATACAACACGTTTAAAATATCATTACCAACTGTATGGTTTCTATATAAAAAAAAATCTTCCTCAAAATAAAAAAGATTATTCCAAGACGAATTTCATGTCTACCAAGTCTAAGAATTTAAATAAATTAAAAAAATAGTTTAAACAAATATTTTATCAGAAAACTTTATCGTCAGCAACTGTTTGACTTCAATAGTGCAGTTTTATTGTGCATCTGTGGCGCAGTGGTAAGAGTTCTGCCTCGGAGCCAAGAAGTCTGAGGTTCGACTCCGGCTCTAGCCCAATAAGCAAAATCAGTATGGAAAGAGGCGGGAAATTCCTAGTGAAATGCTCTTCCGCGGTGCTCTGTGATGAGACCGTAAGGATTTCTGAAAGCACCTTTATAATCAGAAGAAAAGAAGAAAAAAAAAACTTCGTGAGAATTTTATTTTCATTGCGATATTGTATAAATAAATAGATAAATAAATGAGCTATAATACCATATAAAACCTAGCATTATTTTGTATTATTGCTTGAAGTTTTATCTACACAATCTTGTTTGATTTATAATAAGTATTTGACATTTAGATTTATCTAGAAGAGAATAAGTTCTAAAGAAACTTTATTTATGTTAAACAAAATCTAAATTTATTATGATTAGATATGTCTATTAATCCCCTTCCCCATAAAAAAGTTTTCAAAAAAAAACCTAAATTTTAAAAATTTCAAAATCCGTTTAAATTTGATTTTCCGACTCTTTATCTAAATAAAAACAATTTTACGTTAATTTATTAAGATGTATTAATACAGCTTAATTTAATAGCATAATGAAAAGTATAACTAAAATATATGTTATTTCAAGTTTCCATTCATTGGATACTACTATAAATATACAAAATGTAAGTTAAAAAAATTGTTAGCAAATGGTGCGAACAATTTTTTTGAAACAAAGATGTTCTAATAAAATTAATGTTTGTTATTAAAAAGTTACAATTTTTTTTTTTTACATAGCTAAGCTCCTAAGCTATGTAAATCTTATGTTGTCTGCAATTTTTTTTGCCGGCTGTAATTTTTTGCTATATTGGAGAAACCTCCAGACACTTGACAAATGATAAATTAACACCTTGAAACTGATTAACAATTCAATATATGTAAACTTTTAAATACATTAGTTAATTACAAAAATCTGACTAATTGTGATTCTTTTGAGGTTTTGGATCAACCAACCAAACAGAAATGTAATAAAACCAATCGACATCGAAATTTTTTTTTCACACGTTTTAGTCAAAAAACAAATGCACAGAAAATAACTGTAAGATTACCTATTTTCTTTGAAAAGAATATTATTGAAAAAAAAATACAGATGAAACAGGCAATGCCAAATAAATGCTAATCAATAAATGCTATCCAATAGAATGCTAATCAAATTTAATGCTAATCAATAAAAATTTTTTTTTTTTTAAATAAAACAGAAAACACCTATAGAGTGCATTAAAACTTTATTATTTACTTTGAGTCAACAAAAACTGCAAGTAAAACAAATGTCATTAAAAATAAATTATAAGCTCACAGTTATTAATGTTTAGTATTACTTATTCGTTTTACAAAACAACATACTCATGTTTTAGTTTAGACGTTGAAGTTTCTGTTGTCTTCCAAATACAAATATTATATACTTTTAAAATCAACTAAGATTATCTTATTGAATATGTCGTAAAACGCATTCAATAACACAGTTGCAACTTAATAAAAACGCCTAATAACAACTTTAACGTGTTTAAACTAGTAACTTTAAATATACGTAGGAGGCTGTAGTCAACTAAAACGGAAATTTTAAATAAGAACATTATCTTTTTCGGTTTGGAAAAAAATATTTTAAAAATATAAAAAATATGCGAAAATGAAGCATTCGAGAAACCTGAGATTAAAAAAAAACTTAAGGTCTTTTTAAAAAAAATTTAGACGAGCGTCTATTTAAATGTTTAAAAGCTATAAAACAGTAGTACCTTTCATCTTTAAGTAGTTTTAGGTATCAAACTTGCAAAACTATTTTTTATCAAGTTTCTAAACAATATCAAACATAGTTGTGAATACATTTTATTAAAAAAGATTCAAAAAAGCGTGGATTAAATAAAAAATATACTTTTAAATCATGAGATTTAAGTTTTTTAAACGATATAAGTAACAGCTTTTTGTTAATATACGTGATTCCAACAATTTTTAATTTTTTAATTTTTATCCTTAAAAAAAACACAATGAAAGATCTCAAAAAAATTTCCACAGATGATATAATAGATCTCAAGAGAATAATGTGATTTTTTTAATAATAACCTTTTTACAAATAAACAAATTAGTTTTCATCACAACGCTTATAAACATAACCGTAGCATATTAGTATCGATGGAATCCTTTTACTTGTGGGCGATTTTTCTTTATTACCTAATAAAAAGGGCTATCTTAAACTATTCAGTGCACCTATGACTCAAATGAATTCATCTGCTTGTCATTTTTATTATTTATGCAATTATTTAATTTAGCTATTAGTTGTACTTCTTCTTCATTAGAATTAACTTGCATGTTAGTTTTATAATAATGTAAAATAAAACATTCAGTTTAGAATATTTTTAAAACTATAAAAAGTCACTTTTTGTTTAAAAATTATACTTAATAAATTTTCTTTATAGAAATATTTAACGTTCAAAGATATACTTAATAATTAGCCAATGAAAAGAATTTTGTTTACACTAAAAAGTAACTAAAACGAATACATTATTTGCTTTTATTTGATCAAGTCTATAATATTTGTTTGTTTTGGAGATTTAACTAACCCTAATCAAATATGCTGTTGAAGCGTATAGGATTTGGTACATAAAATTTGCTTTAAACAAATTGCAGAACAACAAGTAAATAAGCAAAAACCAAACATTTACAAGTATTTTTTTAAAGTAAAAAAACTTCAATACATAGTGGTTGTTATCCAAAGATTAGTCATTTAAACTTTTTATTTTGGTGAAAATTTCTATTAAATTGACTTTTAAATGGTCATTTGGATAAAAATTTTCATTTTCAAGGACTAATTGGAGCAAAGATCAATAAAAAAAAGTAAAAAGTAGTAAAAATTTTGGTCGAACTCAAAAACTAATGAAGGAGGAGGGGGAGGGGGAGTTGCTATTTTTGCCGTATTAAAAAAAAAGAAAAAAAATTCTTGTTTTTTAAAATTTGTTGACTTACTTGTCTACATTTGCCCAATGAATTTTTAAATTTACCGACTGACTTGTCTAAAAGGTCTGCGTTTGCCGGCTAACATGTCTAAAAAGGTCAAATTTGCCAACTAAATAAACGAAAAATTCATTAATGGAGGGTGGGGGGGGGGGTGTGGATGTTATGCCCCACACACTCCTTTGCGTTGGCTTTAACCACAACATTAAAAGTTCATTAATTTTAATGTTCAAAGACGGGCGCTAATTGTTTTGTAGAAGCTCGGAAGACATCATTTACAACACCCTCCCCCGATTAAGTTAAGACTTTGGGTTTAATCAACTTTCTCGTTTTCCACAATGCAAATGATCTTTTGCATTGCGTCCAATTTCGGTCATCGTTCCTCTTTTCAAAATTTTTGATTTTACTTAACTTTTCACCATGCCTTTTAGTTCAACTACGCGTTTTACCTTAATCTCGATTTCCAGGTTGCACACTAATTGAATCGGTCGTTCAATCACATAGCCGTTTCCCAATCGCATTTTGAAACTACGTGCGACTCTATCTTTACCTTTAACTTTGCTTTTAATTTGTCTAATATTGAGAAATCCCTTGTTTTTTACATTATCTTTAATAAGCCCTAAGCTTCCAATCCCTAGCAGTTTTATTTCGCTTTTCTTTTCTCTGGCTTGTTGCCGTTCTTCAATTGCATTCACGTATTTACTCATCTATCTTTTTCTTATTAAAATTAAAGTGTTTTTTAGTTAGTTTCTAGTTAAAGTGTTCTTTTAGTTAGTTTCTAGATAAAGTTTCTTTTTAAAGTTTCTTTTTAACTAGTTAGAGTGTTTTTTTTCTTGTGAAAGTGTTCTTTACAACTTTTTACCAACTTTTTTGTCTTATAGTCCAATCCTCTTTTGTTATTGAATCGGTATCTTCTTCAAGCAATATTGAAGATTTTCATCTTATCAATATGTTTGGCAACAAAGTATCTGTTTTTCTTAGAGCACTCCACATCCAACAATACTTCTAATTCATTGAAACTTAGTATACCCTTTCCAATCGTTTTTGATAAGTTTTTCTTCATTATTCCGATGAACCGTTCAAATAACCCGTCCCACCAAGGAGCTCTTGATAAATTAAACCTCCATTTTATGACTTGGTTTGCTAGATAGTTTGCGTCATTTTCGTTCCTCATAAGCGTACGTAATAAATTCCATGTTGCTACATATGTTTTTGCATTATCACTAATCATTATCTTAGGTGGTCCTTTCCTTGAAACTAATTTTTTTAGAACCCTCTAAAGATCTTCTGCCGATAGATTATGACAAAGTTTAAGGTAGACAACTCTTGTACTTGCGGATGTTGTGCGACGTAACTTTCCAACTGATTTATTTGGCTCTTTGTTTTTGAATGGAACAATAAAATCGATACCAGTAACCACTTACAGTTATATATTGTCAGTTTTAAAGCGTGGTAAGGTTTTCTTTTGTTGGTGGCAACAGTTGTTTTACTCTGTTTTTTTTACACAAATTACATCCACGAATGACCTTTTTTACGGCAACTCTCTAATTCAGCATTCTGATTTTTATTCTTTGAGTTGGCTGGAAACCTTTCGGTATAAATATCGGATTATACCCGGAGATTATACATGTGGCATTTCCAAATTTGTTGTTTATCCTGCTTGAGTTCCACATCGGTTTTCAATACGCCAGCTTCTTGCAATAAGTTATTGTATTTACCGATTTCGCTTCCTTAATCTCTTAAGCCTTTATTGGCCCGAGTATTTTTTCTTTATTACTACAATTGTAAGTTAACTTCTTTATTAAAGACGACATTTTTAAAACCTTCCAAAGCGAATGTTTTCTCCACAGTCTTACAAATAATTGTCCTTTTATTTCTTCTGTTAACATACAAATACATTCCCATGATTCTTAGTTAATTGATAGTTTTCTCTTTCTTTATTCCAAGGAAGCCCAAGTATTTTTATTGATTTGCACTCACTGTCATTTTCCAATTAGTTTACGCTACTATGCCATTTGTGCAGTTAAAACCCTGCTTTGGTTAAGATTCGCGTTGATGCATTTTTAAACCGAGTAAGCTCTTCTACCATCTCTTCATCTGCTTGCATATCATTAACATAAGTATCTTCTTACTAGGCCAACACTGTTTTTGGATAGATATTCTTGTATTTTGATATATATTTTTTAATGGTAGCAATGAGACTTAATAGACTTGAACTGGAGCCACAAATTATCCTTGTGAACTGTCCTTCAAGTCTTTTTTATGTTCTTATACCAAATTACTCACTGTGTGTCTTGATCCATTTTGTGAATTTGACTATGGAGAAATTTTGTGTGTCTGCTAATAATCAGAGTTTGTTCATCCAATTTTGTATGAGAAAAATATATTTGTATGAGAATATCAAATATTAGTGGCTGCAGTAATTGTCCAAGCAATTGTTTAATGAGGTATTAATTAAACGTCTTTTTGAGCTGAACAATCATAAACAACCATCGTTTTTGTTTACTCAGGATTTTCTTTGATAACCGCTTGATGAGGAATGTAATAAATGATCTTTCCCATAGGTTGCTGTAGTTTTTAACCGTTTAATAGCCTGATCCCTGTTCTTTGACATCATTCTTTTTCCAGGGCATTCTATTTTTATAATATTCTTTGTTGGCTTGGAGCAGTTTTTCTCTTAAATCTTGGCGGAACATTGATTCACTGTTTACGTTGGATAATCCAAGTACTTTATATATTTCCACACGTTTGTTCACCGTTCCATATAGCTGTTCAATGCTTTTCTGTTTCTTCTGTGTAAGTTTTAGCTTCAGTTTTGTTAACATATTCGTTCCTATGTATGAACTTCTAGCACTCGTAACCAATTTTTTTTTTAATTTTTTAACTATTTACTAAGTAATTTGCGTAGTTTCGTTTTCAATTCCAAAAGATTTCCGCAATGTAGCTTTTCGCATAATTTTTTTTCAAACTCCTATTTTTTTACAATTTCGTTTATATTTATAGTGTTTAATTTATCTAACATTTTGTTTTTAATCTCAATTGTTGCTTGAATTTCTATTACTGGTTTTATCTCTACCAAATCAATGTTTTTGCCGTTGTCTAACATTTTCCTAGTTAGTTCGTCTTTCGTCATTTCAATTTTGTTAATAGGTTTGTTAATTTTTCAAGTACCATAACTGTTGTTATTCATTGCATTTATTTCTACTCATTTAATGTTTATT